ATTGCTATTACTACTGCTATTGCTATTTATAAAGCCTAAACCCTAAACCCTAAACCCTAAACCCTAAACCCGAACTACTACTATAGAAGAGGGGTGTAGGGTTCCTTGGGGAAGGGACCCCTGGGCTCCTTTTCGGGGGTTCAAACGGGATCTACAAGGCGAGCTTCGGCTTTAGGGTTTAAGGCTTACCCATACCTTCCCATATCCCTCAATTAAGGCATCTGCCTTAAATCATAGTACTATAACATCGTAGGATTCCTACTTTGGTTTAAGGCAGACGGTCCATTCCCGAACTAAGAGATGTTGCAAGATCTGGGTATAGGGATCCTCCTAAGTCTCTTGGGGCTGGTGGGTTTGCGGGTTTTGTGGGAGTTAGGATTAAGGGAACCCTTCGGGAATAGACCCTCTCAGCAAGACCCAATTTCAGGTTAACAGGCGTCCCCCTGAAGGGGTCTCCCCAATACTACCCTAATATTGCCTAGGACTCTAAACCCTAAACCCTAAAACCCTAAACGCCAAACCCTAAAACCCTAAACCCCAAAACCCAAAACCCTAAAACCCTAAACCGTAAACCCTAAAACCCTACTGAACCCCTAAACCCTAAACGGGAAGTCTGCCTAACACTGCCAATAGGGTTTGGGGGGTCGATTATACTATACGCGTTTTATGGAGGGCCCGAAACCCTATTATGAGCATTAAGGCCCCTATAGCACCCACCATGGAGCACCCGCCCTTAAGGCGGTCCTCCTTCAGGGATCGATCCTGCAAACCCTAGTATAGAAGCCTGACTAATTACCAATTGTATTCCTTAGGGTTCCGTATTCTGATTATACTATAAAGGGCCCGAAACCCTATTCTAGTTATTTAGGCCCTTGCATTAACCAGCCCTCCAAACTCTGAACTCTTGTGTCCGAGCACCCCTACAAGCTAAACGCCACAACCAACGCCACAGCGCTTTCAACCGTGAAACCATAGTAGGCACTTCACCCCCAAAACTCGACTGAAGCGAAAGCCTTGCACCCTCCCGAACCCCAAAACCTAAACCCCAAAACCCTAAACCCAAAACGCCAAAACCCTGAAGCCTTAAACCATAAACCCGAAACCCCAAAAACCCGAAACCCTGAACCCTAAACCCTAAACCCCCTAAATCATAAACCCGAAACCCCGAAACCCTGAACCCTAAACCATAAACCAGAAACCCCTAAACCTGAACGCTAAACCCTAAACCCTGAACCCAAAACCCCAAAACCCTCAACCCCAAAACCCCAAAACCATAAACCCCAAAACCCCTAACCCTGAACCCAAAACTCTTCAATCCAAGCACCCTAAACCCTAAACCC